TTTTACTTTGATTAAAGGGAAATGTTTTAATAGAAAAGGCGTTTTAATGATTGACCTAAATAATATGTGTTGTACATACTATTAAAAAATACCATATTTAACTCTCGCACATCTATTTTAGATTTCTTAAGAATAACTTGTTTTAATAACTGATCGGTGTATTCGTTGTTTATTCACTGAATTTGCTGGACCTTTTTCAAACTCAAAATAACTTTATTCATATAGGTAACCAAGTACACTTATGAACGTCAACAGAAAAGATGTTAAATTGATTCTAAATTTACATCTACTACCGGCTCGCAAGTCAAGGGCGTAGAGCGGGCAACTGGCAAGAAACTTTCCGCCAATCTTTTTAATCGCCAAGTTTTGAGTCATACAAATTGTTTGAACTGGAGAAAATCAATCCCAAAGATTAGATTAAATATGAAAAGCTTTATTGATTAATTTACACTTAACGACAGTTTTGAATTTATTCAATGATAATTATTTAATTTCGCTTGGGAGTTTGTTGTAAAAAAAAAACAATCCAATTTTCATATAAGGAGTTGTTTATCTTCTGGAGCCTGGTTGGTCGTACGCTTAGATTAGTTCTCTTTTGAGTATTACACTGGTAAAAGTCACCAATTGTTTTAAAAATTCCTTATACTTTGCTTTGCAACAAGGATTCAAGAATATATTAGCCAGATGGTGTCATAATATTTAATTCTTTAAACTTTTTACTATTTCTTTTATAATATATTATTAACTAGCTGTGCATCTTCATTTACTTCTGCGTTAACTTGTATCTCGTTTTTACAAAAGTTTTTTTCTTCAATTTGAACCAGCCCAGCGAGATAAGGTTGCAAGTAAAAAAACTACTTTACTTTTGAATTGGAATTAGTATTGTTACCATTTTGTATGTGGTATACACTAAACACGAGTTGTTTATAACACCACATCCTTTACCTGCTGAACTTGCAAAACATGTAAGAGGAAAAATAAATGGTATATTTTGGCAAGCATAAAATTTAGCTATACCATTGTATTGTTCAGTCAGGCGTCTGCTGAGTGCTCGCTCATCCCGATTGAAATGGTAATGTGACCTCAGCCACCGGTCTAATTGCCATGCAAATGTACTTGACTTTCAACTTAACGTTAATACTTGTAACGAGGGTATTTGGAGCTTTTGTAAGCTCTGTTTAGAGGTCATTTCACTCTAATACTTTCACCTACTTTTAGGTTTATGGAGATTTTTAAATGTAAGGGTCTTTGAATCAGTAAAAGTTCATTTATTATGTTAGGATTACTATGACTACTTAGAACTTTTGTTTTCAAATTGCCTTCTCTTAGAATAAATAGAAATAAAGAATACTTTACTGGTAAATCGTAGTAACATTTATAATTTTAATTATCATTCAAATATTTCAAGAGATGGTAGCAATAGTTCTGTACTGACCACTAGTCACATGAATCTTCTCACCGTCTCAGGCCTACGACAGCACATTTTTTTAGTTCCATTATTTTTAGTGTTACAAAAACCTGTATTTCACTTAAAATATGAATCGATATACCTTAAACCTTTTAAGTACGATTATTGTATGCTTTGATTGGATATTACAGAGCTGCCTTCCAGAAGTTGGTATGAATACACTATTTCATACGAAGGTCCGTTTCGGACGTTTATAATATTATTGTACCACAAAGAACGGTTCGGAGGTCGTATAAACTGCATCTAACTTAATCCGAGTGAAACAAAGCAGTGACTATCAAAAAATGTGACGATCGGCTGAGGTAAAAAAATATTTTAGATCAACCTCTTTAATTTTTTAAATTAAAATTATATGTTTCGAACAATTAAACTAAAATTATATGTTTCGAACAATTACGTACGACTATATTGTTTAAGATGGACAATCTCATATTATTTGAAAATGTTATTAACTAAACTAATTGAATTTTCGACCGTAGTTAAAAGAATTTCCTAACTCGCAATACAGTAAAGAAAGTAGTCGGAATAACTCAGACATTAATGGCACCTTATAACTGCAAACTTCCACTCAGTACCAACCAATTATTGAAGTAATTTATGCTAAATCGGGCTCTGGCGAGTTCATTGTTATGCAGCCGGATTTAAAACTACGACAGCTCAATATAGAACTGGGACTGGAATGTCCTTTCAAACTTTTTCTGTTTATAATGGAAAATTTATTGTTTATAGAGAAAGTTTGTGTTGTAGTTTTAAAGCAATTGAATTTGCTAAGCCTTAGATTATTTTCCGCTTTTATTTTATAGTATTGCTTCATTATTTATTATTACATTTCACTTATTACGATAATATTTCTGAGCATAGTAGATATTTGTACCTATGGAAAATATCGATGAAAGACAATATTGTAAAATTTTGTAAGTCTATGAATTTATTTAATCCTATGATATTAGGTTACATTAGGTTACATAACAATTACTATCATAATAGTAAAAATTACAATTACACTATTTAAAATTAATTGACGCTACATAAATTTTAAGTAATAATTATTATCGTTGGTTTTTAGTTATAATTACATCCCAAAATATAAAAAGTTATAAATATCGTTGCAGCTTGTTATATGAAAAGATAGTGCAATAATCACGAAGATAGCTCGGCCTCATTTCATAATGCCTTCGAAGCGGGATGTATTTAATATCGTCGTAATAGCACGGGATGAGAATAAAAATGTGTCGAGTACTATGTACGTTCAACTAAATATATTTTGTAATGAACAACCGGAAATTATGTAAAAATCTGAAATTCTTGATGATTTTTAGTTGTCCTGTATAAAACGGTTCAGTATCCGTTTGATACACATTTTATAACAATAAATATGAGTACTGAGTACATAAAAAATAGGATAAATAAATCAGTAGTGCTACAACATTTTTAGGTCTTAGCCTCAGATTCCTGTATCTGGTTCATGATATTTTGTCAATTTAATAAGCAAGTAGGTGATCAGCCTCCTGTGCCTGACGCTGTGAACGCCGTCAACTGTTTGATCTTCACGATGTTTTCCTTCACCGTTCGAGAGAAAGTTAAATGCGCACATAGAAAGAAAGTCCAAGTTACGGCCAGGGACAAATCGACCTCAGGGATGAGAGTCGCACGCTCTAGGCCAACGCTGCTCTGTGTACATACCATCATATAATCTTGACTGAAATTAATGAGACGAAATTTGGTATGCATAGGCATGGAAAGGTTAGACTATAAATAGTTCACAAAACACTCAAGAATAAATATATTATTGAGGACGTAATTAATAAATAAAACTGAGCATTATAATCAATATTTGTGGTCAAAAAATTATGCATCACCTAAAAAAATGTCATGATCATTATATATTTAAAATTGAAAATATTTGAATAAAATGTGACACTAGAAATAACAGTACGAAGGGAACGACGAGCAATACTCTAACTAGCAAGACGGAAATAAAGCAGTCACCCGAAAACTCTTTCCAGCCCTGTTATTCTGTAACTCACTTTTCGAACTCACACAGCGGTTTTCGTATCGGCGGTCGATCTCGAATCAGTCGTGAAGCAGTCATTTTATGATTTGGCATTCTGAAAAGGTGGGAGCCTGTAGATTATTGTTTATCAGAATGCCAAATCATAAAATGACTGCTTCACGACTGATTTGAGAGCGACCGCCGATGCGAAAACCGCTGTGTGAGTTCGAAAAGTGAGTTACAGAATCGCAAGGCAGATACCAAAGTTTCTTATTTAAGAAAGGAAAGATTCAATATATTTGATACCTATTTAATAACTTGCGCCAAATTTTACAACTAACATTACTGATAACTAAGGTGTTAAATTAATTTGAACAGTTGAAAGGTATTAAACCATTCAGAACATCGTTCATATTTTTAAAAAAATATTCTCGATAAACACAAGAAGGATAATAATCGAGATTTAAGCGTGAATGGTGTTTATAAGTAAATAAAACACTGAAATACATTAAACATTTAATTAATAGTTATAAAATCATTGGTACCGCATATCACTCTTAATAAATTAATACAAAATAAAACAATAATAACAAAAACGAAAAGTGTAAAGCTCGCTTCAAGTCGATAAATTACTTAATATACAGAAATTGACTAATTAGTAATATTATTTAAACTGATTTGTGAGTTTTCATCACAGTATAGCAATAAAAACATCGTACAATGACTTCTACAAAAGATCTGGATTCATAGAGAATTCATCAGCACTGAAATAATGCAATATATAAATCTCTCCACTATATTATATTTGCATAGGATTCGTGTCGTTCGTAAACTATGTTTTGCACCAGGGTCTTAAGTAAAACGTCATTGCAATATAGTGATAAATCAGTACAAAATAAGTCTTTAAATGCTTTGTCATAAGACAATTGATATAGTCAGTTCATAATTAAAATTGGTATATGATATGGTGAGTAATATGTAGGTAATTTAGTATTAGCCCTTATCTAACACTATCGTTTAAACTAGTAATTATTGAAAATTAAAACATTGGTCCTGATTAGATTACCATTTTTGTTTCACCTGTTAGGTGCGTGAATATTTCTTTGAATAGCCAAGTTCTTACACGTCATCAACACAATGTCATTTGTTTTAAGTAAATCAAACAGACGATTGATTTAAACAGTGTAAATATTTTGTTTTTACGAATAAGTCTTCATATGTATTGAGTACTCAAACAAGCTGTTTACTACATAACTTCAAAGGTGATTCCAATTTCAATATTGAGTTTTCATGCCACTAAACTCTAAGTAAGTGAAATCAGCGCTATAAATGTTGAGGGCTTTATTGAAAAAGACTTTCGTCTTTAGATTGGGTCATTAAGTTTCTTTGTTAACTAATTATCTAGTCAAGCGTTGAAGTGGTAAGCTTGCTGTATCCTTTTTCCTAATATAGCTTATTGCATGAAGCACTTTGCCATGAAGCACTTTGCCATGAAGCACAATTGAGCTCAGATATGTTAGATAAAGGCAATACGAGGAGTTAAACGGAGGTTTTACTGCAGGCGTTGATGTCGCCGATACTTTTGACTCGTCTGTGCCTCCTTTGCCTCACGACTGAATCGTCCACGGATTTGGAGGGCAGAGGAGAGCTCACCCTGTGTGAATGATCCACCCTTTGGCCGTATCTGTAAAAAAAATTGCTTATAATCGATATTTACTATGATTATACCAAAGATTACTTTTATTAAAATAAATCAGTAGCGCTACAACCTCTTTAGGTCTGGGTCTCAGATTTCTGAATCTGTTTCATGATCATTTTTAAATCTAATAGGCAAGTAGGTGATCAGCCTCCAGTGCCTGACACACACCGTCGACTTTTTGGGTCTAATAAGACATGTCGGTTTCCTCACGATGTTTTCCTTCACCGTTCGAGCGAATGTCAAATGCGCACATAGAAATAAAAAAAGCCGGGGATGGAACCTACGATCTCAGGGATGAGAGTCGCACGCTGAAGCCACTAGGCCAACACTGCTTACTTTTATTAGTGCAATAAGCAATAAATGTATACATACATATCATTGTAAATATTTATGATACAACTAATATAATCGAAAGAAACTAAAGCTATCTACAAATCTCACAAAGAGTTTCGCACTTTAAGAACTACCTTCGAAGCAACTCACCTATGCGTAATCCCTTCTTTAATCTCGTTCAACCTCTGCAAGCTGTCTCTTGTAGACACGCTAGACTGCGAGTAAAGGCTTAGCGGTGTATATATGGGCTCGTATTCCTGCACCGTAGGCGGTGGGGCATAGGTCATACTTAATTGCGAGAGAGTTCTACCCCCTATCGGTGGGGAGTAGCACATCTGGTACTGGCCTAGACTAGAGCTTTCACTGGAACTCGATGGCGACTGTCGATCGTGTTTAGCCTTCAACGCTCCTAGGGCGCGGGTGATTGAGCCCTGTTGAATAGTTTTATCATGTTTTAAGGTATGATAACATTGCTTCTACCTACATTTTTCGATAGGGATCAAATAGAACAAAGGAAATTTATATTTCCAATTTTGTATATTGTTGTGAAAGATACATGAAAAGTTTGTTGTGGATTATGAAAGCGTTAATAATTATACTGTTATTACAAAAATATCGAGGTTTCATTTCCCATAAATGACCAAAGCGAACAATAATTATGACGTTTTTACATCACTGAGTTTAATGTTCGTTTTATATACAAATAGGCATCAATATTACCTTTTTGCCTCTAATTAAAAATGTTTATTTACTATATAATATATAAATATTATTGTTTTAATGTAAATTTAGAATCAATTTAACATCTTTTCTTTTGACGTTCATAAGAGTACTTGGTTACCTATAAGAATAAAGATATTTTGAGTTTGAGTTCATAATCTTACCCGTAAGCTATGTCGTCTTGAGTCAGCTGTGAAATCTATTCCAGGCAAACCAGTGGCCACTGATCTCGAGAAAGGTCTACCTAACATTCTTATTTGATGGCCGAAAGTGTTCCTGAAAGCGTTTTAATATTAATATTCAATATTATTAAGAATTACACCGAGAAGCTATACATCAGCCAGAGATTTATCATTTCGTTACCATTAGGCATATTATTGACTCTAACACAGAAAGCTTCATGCAAAATATTTGCATTTTTTAATTTCACACCTGTCTTTAATTTAGAAAATGAAAACTTAAAATGAATCAAAGATTATGTACAGAATAAATTCAGCTCACACCAAAAGCATGATGCACGGGAAAAATACAAATCATGCTAATGTGTACAAACATAGTGAAAAAATTACCTAGCACAAAACAAACGATGGCTACCAAAGAATAACATTGTATTGGATAAAATCGATTCTACATTTAGAACAATGCAATAAGCTTTAACAATTTGAAACTGGAAATCTTTTGCTAAACTTAGATAAAGCTTATTTGCCGGAAAACTTTTTACATCAAAAGAATTCGGTGTAAGTTTCGCCAACGTTACCACCTCCTAATTTTCACTTTGACTCTTTGTGACGAAAATTGTTCTAAGATAATGGAGAAGATAGGTGAGCACTCGGAGCGTGCCGCTGGATTAACTTTCTCGAAACGGAACAACATTTTTCTTTGGTAAGAAGTCGATATCACAAGAAAATTTAAAAAGAAATTGAAGCAGAAATCTGTGAAACAAGAAACAAAATTTACGTATGGTTATAAACAAAGTAATCGACAATGTTTTATGAAATAAAGTATCGAATGACAGAGTGGACTAAGCCCGAAAAAGGTGCGGTCTAATGATGATGACAGAGAGGCATTCATGATTTATCGATAAAATGATTTACCGTTCTGCCTCGATGATCGCCAAGATAGGGGTGACGGACAAGATAATGACTCGACAATTTCATAGTTTTCTCATTTTTGATTTTTATTCACATTCATATGCCGAAGGATACCGTTACAATTGATCTAATATACATACATAATTAAATTTTACATGAGGAATGTATACAATACAAGTCGAAAACATAGATATCTTACAATATTAGTAATGCTATTTATTGTATTAATCCTAAAGCTATTTGATCGTGAACGGTTCCAATTTAATAATCAAAATTTATTCGATGAATTTAAATCCTTTCCTTTAAATTCGTACGATAAAAGGAATGCATTAGTAAATATAATAATGAGATGCGAGCACCTCCTATATTATAAACACGAAGCATCAAATGCTACGCGCAATTCATCTAATTTGAATATCAACGTTCACTAATATTATCATTGATTCGAATCTGAATTACATTAAGATGTGCCAAAAATCTATAATTCCTACGGGTCGAGTTCCGAGGGCCGGTCTATTGGGACACGAATTCTAACATACACGACGTGGAACAGGAATAATGGTTGCGTCTGTTCGTCAAACTTTTCGAGACACTTCACTTACAAACCACGATACCTACAATAACTTATCAGTCTTCACCGCTCGTAAAGTTTTCGATCAAAAAATCTCGAACGAGCAAGTTTGACGGAAGAATTCTATAAAATACATTTCTTGCAAAGAAATTCTTTAGTGGAAAAATAGCTTTACTATACGAGTATAAGGGGACTTTACATAGAGACACGCGCGGGGACCGGACTCGAAGCTTTATTTACTTTTTAAACGAGAGCTTTTTAACTTTTCTATGTTTATCTTTGTTTCGTGGACAACATGGATGCTCGGGCAGCCTCCACTTGCAGTTCTTCCACCTGGCAAAATATCGTATACCTGCAGGATTGCACCTCACATTATAATTAACTACCAGGTATCGCCTACGGGTCTGTGACTGTGTTTAATAATTCCATGCAGTGCCTTTCGTTTTGGAAGAATGATCTAATGCTCAACACATTTCTCGTGGACTTTATTGAAAGCGTAAAGTGAACTTTGTCCAGTGACTATCTTTACCTAAACATTTGTTTTGATATTTTGATGTAATGTGTTCTCGTTACAGCCTCAAAATGTTTACCTTGCGGGGATGATGAGAGCGTCGAACTCGGCCACTAGATGTCTTCGAATTATACTTTTCGAAGGTGGAATTCCCAGAGCCGTGGCCATCGTTTCTCCAGTGAATGATGGTTCCAGTACGACTAATCCTCCGTGAACTCCACTATCTGAATAATTAAAAAAAAAGATATTACTTGTAACATACACTAATCAAAAAAATTAAAACGAAAGTTAAAAAAACCAAGTATATATAGTGTAACTAAAACTATTTTTGCTTATAAAAATAAAGTTACCTTTGAGATTGTCAGCAAATTCACCCAAGTCAATATTGTGCGCCCAGCGTATAAAGCGCTGGTTGGTCCACACTAAAGGATCAGCGTCAACATTTTCACATTGATGACGACGAATAGCTAAAGCCTGTCAACAACATCCACGATCACACTAACAATAAGGATAAAATACGTGTTATTTTTAAATAGGTAATAATATTTGTTATAATAATCACTACTGATTTAACCTATGACCTATTATTTCTGGATTGTTATGTGCAAAGCATAGGCTTATAGAATAGAAAGATATACATAAAATAAATAGTATATACTACAAGATATATATAGCACGCAATGCCTACGTTTTTGACCTAATAAGATTACCTCTAGGTGGAGGCTACGCTGTAGCCCGAAGCTACGAAATTGAGAACAGAATTCAGTGATCTGTATCATATTGTTTATTTGTTGTTGGTATATAGTACAATTGACAGTATATATTCAATTAGGAAAAAATATTTATCTTTCACGTAGAAATTGGTAAAAACTAAAAAGCAAAATCTTATCAAAACATATTCTTTATGAAAGGCTTATTGGTAATAGGGTCATAATTGTCTTTTGCACATTTGAAAATTGTATTGTGTTTTCTCGCTATTTAGTTATAGAAAATGCTGAATTATTATAACTCTTCAATTCTCACCAATGGATTCTATTTTACTTGGACTATAATTTTTAAGTACAAAAATAAAATAATATACACGAAAAATGGTTATGATAAATGAGGACAAAATTACGGTTTTTGAAACGGAATAAATTGTTATAATTTTGTTAATAAATTATGTACAGTAGATAATATGAAAAACGAGATAAAAAATGAAATTTCGCTCACTGTCACGAATTCAAAAGAGGTTCGAGTAAGAAATGATTAACGACTCTTCTATTAGGGAGGTCGTAACGAAAAACATTTTATAACGGGCTTCAGTGCATAATCCCCTGTTTGCTTTCACCTTTCTCGTTTATCGAAAAACAAACTCCGGCTTACGATAAATTATTTTCTTGTATACCAAAAATATGGTAATTCTGCCCCTAACTTACATAGTGTAATTTTTTTGAAAATTATCAGATGATTAACTTAATAGAGTAATTGCCCTCTAGTTACTGAAATATAACGGAAAAACATCCACGAGTTTATTAAAAATAATTTTATTAGTAAAACTAGGTGTAAGGGTATTCCGTTCATTATACCGTTCAAGTATTACGTAAGCACAATATTTTATTATTTGGTGATTACGTCAACAGTAATTATTAACGTACAAACATTGTCTATGCTTGTAAACGAAATAAATTTTCTAGGATTCCTATAAAAAATTAATACGTTTATGTACTATTATTTTTCAAAGCTTTGCTTAATGTTGCTGACAAGAGGAAGGGGGAGGGGATAAATTGCAGTAAATCAGCTTACGTAATACTTGAACGGCCCCTGAGTCGTAGAAGAACAAAAAATTTACATAAGAAAAATATATGTAGTATAAAACGAGTTGGCGAACGTAGGTACTTGACTTGTGCGAACGTAAAATAAAGCTAGTTAAACATAATTTTTAAGTACAATTATAAAGTATTTATCCATTGTAATAGTTCAATTTATTACTATTCAGTTAATGAATTATAAATCATAGATTGAATAAAATATTTCGGTTTAAAATATCTTGCTCGAAAGGTGGAGTGAAGAATATCGAGCGTTCACGACGTTTGATAAATTTAAGTAGATAAGCACATACCTGACGATCGTACTTCATAATTCTGAGCAAATGGATCCCGTGGACGATTGAGGCTTGATGAAATTTCCTCGTCACACCTAAATACTTCTCCAATTCCTTTTTGCTGATTGTGTCGAGCATTCGAGCGTCCACCAAATTCGCCAAAAATGACTCGGCATACTGTTTTAGATATTTTATAAATTCTTTAAATTTAAGATATTACTGCTAACAAATATTTTATTGTCAACTATACTGATATTAATAAACGCCAATTTATTCGATAAAAGTATTCGGTAGGAGAGTAATTTATTAATTGGTTTGCGAAATTGAAAAACTAAAAGTGAATTGCATTTTAATCCTCTGTCGACAATATAATGCAAATAGCTTTTGAATTTCACGTCACTTTCAATCGGTAAGTTTTTTATTTATTGCGAATAGCCATTTCTGTTGGGTTCATTACCCAAAGAAACGAGACACGTAGGTATGTATGTTACGGTATGGGTAATCATCGACCAACCTGCGACAATCCGAGGTCAGGCAGCCACTCCGCGGCGACCCAGGCGTGCGAGAGCTGCCCAATGCTGGGGTTCCGCACGAGGTCAGGTCGTCGCCGCTCCTCGATGGCCAGCCGCAGCTTCTTCCTGTGCATCGGCTGTGTAATCCCCAAGCCGACCTCAAGGTCCGTGTCTGTCAGCTCTAGCAAAACCTGCCCATTCAAAGCACGGATCTAGAAACAACCAGAACACAATATTTGACGCTTCTATTGCGTCATCTTATAGCTAGCCAATTTGTTTGTTCTTTTGAAGAAATTTTGTATTTTGTTTTGATTGTTACTCTTATAAATAATAAATAACTGTTTCCATATCTGTAATCAATAAATAAGTACGTCATTTGTAAGAACTCTTTCATAAGATGTAACGCGATGATTGGTCAAGTTTTTTTTATTCCAACCTGTCTGAAATTTTATAAAATAGATTGTCAACAAACTTATTGCTGCTTTTTCAGAACCGATAAGAAAACGTATTTGCCTGGGCAATACAATAGAAACTAGTAGTCCTTGACACATCTTGAAACACCGTGTCATTAAACTTTAGACAACAACCACTACTTCACCCATATCAATATTTTATAAAATAATTCAGTCTGTTAATAATATTTAATTTTCTGCGAATTATACAAATAAAGTCCTCAACCCCACGTAGGAGTATACAATCGTTAACATTTCACCCTAATTATCGCAATAATTGAACCTCCGAAATAAGCCTCTAAATAATAGCAATATTCCCGGCACGTAACAAAATTCACTTCAATATTTGCAAATGAATACATTATGAAGCTGCGTATATTCGCCTATGTCCATATTTCTCTTATCACTTTATTGCAAAATTTAATTAAAAGTTTGAAGCTGGTGTTTGTGTTTGGCGAACGAACATATACATTAACAAATATATATTGTATAATATTGGTTCCTAAGACACCGTAATCACCCACGGTGTAATTCCAAAAATATTCTATTCGATTCCGGCGGATTCTGCGCAGAAGTTTGGTTTAGATTTGCGGTGCGAATGACCAGTAAAACGGGCGCATAAATATGTCTATCCGAGCCCCATTAAATGTAGACATATTATTCAATAGGTTTGTCACTTAAATATGTCAGGTATAGAAAAAGACCGCACAAAAATATATTTCCTTAAGGTTTTTTTAATTTATTTAATTTATACATATTATATGTATTTATAACTTTTCGTAAAAAGTTTTTATTATTTCCATTCGTCAATTTGATTAAATAATAACATAGCATTAAATTGCTTTACTTTGATTACAAGGAAAGGGAAGCAACTTTCAACGCGAATCGTGATTATGAATAATAATATTATGAATTTATCAGGGTTCTTCTGAGAATATAAAATCTTGGAGTTCGGAATATACGTAAGCAAACAAAAATATTTTCCCAAATAATTGATCGAAGATTGCTTTGATGTTTTGCCTAAGGATTTATCGCGAAAGTGTTTTCATGTATTTATTGGCAAACTCATTATAATTTATAACACCTAGCGATCAGTTACCGTAATATATATATATATCGATATAATATGTCGATTCGCAGATTAATATTAGCCAGATAACTATCACTATTGTCGTATAAGATGTCTTCAATATTACGTGTTGCCATTCAAATAAAACAAATGACATCGTGTTGACAAATGACTCTTATTACATTACTTCTGACATATAACTACAATTTTTTTTCGAAAATGTGCATTATTTACGAATCTTTACTCAAATAAACTAATTTCTCAATGTATACTGATTAATATACGTAGGGTTTCCTAAGAATATCATTTAACCAAAAAATATATTTTATTAACACCTTTTGTGTAATATCAAAACGATGCACACATATTATAAGTAACTGGTGTATACAATTTTGACTCACCTTTCCACTCTTAACGTTGTCGGCGATGGTAGCAGCATACTGTGGCATTCCCAGGGCCAGTTCGAGCCACGCAATGATGGCCGGTGCACGCCATCGCGACAAAGGCAGAGACGCCGCCTCACGCAAAGCCGCCTCACTGCCCAAAGGTGACCAAGCACGGCCACTGCCGCTGGCATACACTGGTTCTTGTACAATAGAATATTATTATTACGCTTTCATTCTAATGCCTTTGTATTGGGTATGTCATGAAATGAACTCTTTAAAAAAACATGCATTTATGAAATAAAAGCGTTATCTTGTTCGTTTAGGCATGAAATGAATTCTGACTTTATCCGGCGGCGGTCTGCAATCTTAATATACTTAATCTTAGTCTTTTACAAATTACCTATTATAAAGGGGAATTAAATAGAAGCCCCACATGACCGAAGAAGTAACGTAATGTGCACAGTAAGATATATGTGTCGTATTGTAAATCATTTAGCATAAACCGTTTTACAAATAGATAATAATGTTTTATTAATTGGAACTTAAAACGACGAACTATCATAAATTTCAATAAATATCATCAAAAACATGCAGACCAAACATGCACCGTTACTTCTAATCAAATCAGAAATCATACCACTTTCGTGTCCACTAGAAGCCGCGCTGCCTGACTTGGTGCGATGTCTACTTCTCGCGAAGACTCGTGATATGGATCCCCACGCGGAGCCTCGGCCTCTGCCCGATTTGCTGGCACTCCCACGTGTCCGCATCCCTCCCAAAAGAGCCGATTCACACTCCCCTGGACTTGATAGCTGTTCCACGGACCTAGATAAATCTTACTTTATAATTAAAACTTAAATAAACGGGCAAGCTTTAAAATTAAAGCGCAAGCATAATCTTCACTCTATATAAACACAAGTCGAAACTGGCAAATAAGTATTTAAAACTTTATATCTCTATATATATCGCCTTAATAGGCGTAAGCCTATGTTCACTAGCGATTACAAAACGATTACGATAGGATAAACGTGGAAGTTATTGGTTGGAATCGGTAAAAGGAGATCTACTGCAGGTGGCTGACTTGAAACTATATACCACATACAATATATATATATATATATATATATAACCGATACAATGGTTAAAACATTAAACTCGTACAAATTAGTAAATTACTACACACGCGACAGTTTAATTAAGTTTACGTTAAGTATGTGATAAACGTACGAGTATGTTAAGTCACCTTATCACATTAGCAATGTCGTCATTTTGTCCTAAGCATTTAATCTCGTTAAGAGGCCTTCAAACGTTTAGTTTAATGTCTGAGACCCTCGCCCAGATCCGTTTACACTTTGATGATCATGTATCAATAATGAAGGCCTAATAACAGCATAACCTTAATCATATTGGTTTTGGCAAAAATTTAATGATTGCCGTGTCCTGATAAAGAACTACTAATTTATTTTACAGCCCACAGGAGCTGTAGGGATACTTATAAGATACAGTTGAAAAGAATACACAAATTATTATTTAAAATAGGTACCGAAACTTAATTTTAATTTTCTCACAACAATGCTTTATAAACCATTCATATCACACAAGTATCAAGTTTAAAATATAGTCTGTGCAATGCCTGAAAGGATTTGCCATTAAATAAAGTTAGTACCTGGAGAGCGAGCCCGCGTCGACCGAGCGACTGAAAGGCGAAGCGCTATTGTGCGGAGATAGTGTAGGACTGCAGTCACGTGGCGTACTCACTTGAAATAAAAATATTATAAACGTAATATTTTTATACATTTTTATGTTCAGCTATTCTGTGTCGATAAATAATCTCTATAAAAGCGATAAACTTCAAAAGGTTTTCTATAATTTTGGCATTATGCACGAAATTCACGCGGGTAAACATGTGGGGACTTAGTTTGCGAATTAACTGCTACGCTAGTTTAGTAGTTCTAGTAAGTTTTTAATTCAATGTGACGAATGAGTTAATTAAACATGTAATTTAGTTTTATAATCATTAATAAACAATGAAATTGACTACAACCAGTTGTTACTATGTTTGGTTTATATTCACATTTTACAAAAGTAATTACAGCTGCAATTTGTGAAAGCGAAATAATTGATCAATACTTTTGAATCCACGCGAAGTAAGTTTACATAGCGACAATGCCCCGGAAGTAATAATGTTAAAAGCATTTCAGACGTTAAGTTGGTTTGCTGTGAAATCCATTAAAATTAATTTCATTGCGACGGAATTTTCGATAGCGATTTCATTTTACAAATTCATTTTAATAACTATGTTAATTGAGAAACATTTTAATTAAGTTTCCTATATTTTGTATCTATGTTGAAGAACATGGACAGCGTGTATATTTAGAACATGATAATTATGAGATAGCTGTCCAAAGGAAAATTATTATAAGAACCGAAAGATTGATGGAGCACTTAGAAATATTAAATACCTTAATGTAAATTCGTTGTACAGTGTGCTAATGATGCAGAATTGTTTTATACGAGTATTTGGTTAAATACGTTACGTTACGTTCGGTAAAAAGGCGTTCGCATTAGGTACGTTTAAATTAGTGACCAACACATTGTATAATATATCCATCGTCATGATGTTTCGGGTTTAATATTGCAGCTATGAAACCCCTACTCGAGTTTTGACCAATACGGAAATACTTACATTGATATATAGGATGCGCAGACGACACAAGGGAGACTGCATCTGTGTCGTAGGGGTCTATATTCAGAGGAGCGCCCTCTGCCGTAGAATCAGAGAGGTTTCCTCCGCACACCGATGTGGCACCACCATCGCTGCTACCTGTCACTAACATTAATGTCATCTTCCGTGTCTAAAATGCCACAAATCTATCTGATCTATTAAAATGATTAAAGAATATCTTTTGTTTTACAAATTCACATGTAAAATATACACTAATGTACTTTTTTCAAACAGTTTTGTTTCCTCGGGATTAAAATCAATGAGAATAAAACAAGAATATCATTTATTCTTATACGTTAAAGAAAAGTTACTTCAAAAACTGATTATTAAAAAAGTTTGAAAAACTACCTGAAACGTTACATGAAAGTGTACCACGTGTTTTTTTAAAGCTTAAATCGAAGTCCTTCCTTAACTGTATACCTCTAACACCTGAATCAGCGCTGCAGCTGCCCCTGTCTCCAAGTAGACCTGAAGGACCACCGAGGATCATGGGTGGACCGATACCTAACGACGCCACACTCTCTCCCTCCGAAAGACATCCCGCCGCCTGGAGTTGTCTACGTGCCTGATATAAAAAGATCTCAATCAAGAGCTAGACTAGATTTGTCAGTTAGCTACAGTGATTACTATTATTTGGGGTTACGGGGCTTAATACATACAAAAATACTATTAAATAAACTAATTATATTTGGCTCGATTACACTTAAAGTTGCCGAGCAAAAATATGAACAACGAAAAACGAAGTTTCAAGTGTTTTGTGCTGTGGAAACAGTTGCGCTTCATTCTCTTCTCGATTTCAATCAGTAATTTGAAATTGTAATTAACACCGTGTGCTGGTGATGGATGAGAATTCACCGGACCTATTCATCATAATTTCTGTCGATATTGCTCTGTTTGCAGATTATCATATTCACCCAAACTTGTGTAGATGTAAGAATGATTGATCTATTAAAGTTGATATTAACAAAAATAAAGATACATTCGTGAAGATTTATTAACCCCTGGTACTTTTTTATAATTTGTGAACAGCCTACGTCCGCCGGGAGTCGAACTCGGGCTAAGTTCGCGTCACATACGTGTAAAAGGACTTCAATGAATATCATGATATGATACGGAGGCGGGGCTTATATAAATGAACAGGTTTGTACATTACATAGAAAATCAAGCACATCAAATCTTTTTAATTTTTAAAAGTTAAAAGTTAACTCAATTAGTTATGGTAATGAGTATGTGCGACACGAATACTTAACGGATGAAAACTTATAATATTTTGTATGAAAAATTACAAACAACGCAACGTAATCGCTTACAAAGCACATTTAATCGATATTTGTTTATAATACAATCGTAGATTACAAGAAAATAAGTCTCTCTTTAGACGATCTTCTACATTTCCATATTATGAAAAATGTTTATGAAAAAATCAACAGATAATCAGAATAAACGATACTTAAATATATAAAAAATGTGGGTTCGTCAAAATACAGTCTTGTTAACATAGCCCACAGTCATGAGCTATATCCAAAATTATGCTCTATTAAAATAATGTTAACGGAGGTCTAAGATAGTTCACGGCGAGCCGAGGCTATTATCATTCTCATACGAGTTCATTTCCTATGGGTTTCATGAACGTGACGTGGGTTTTGTCTCTAGTGGCAAGTTATATCACTGATTTAATGCTTTAGGCCGATGCCTATCTTCTTTGCCAGGACATGACGGCCAACTTTGAACTGTAGATTAAGTGATAATATTGTTATATAATTAACCTTACCCACATTTGGTAATTGAAGGGTTTTACTTTGTATATGAATATTGTATGTAATTTTTTTAATAAAACACATATAATTGTCAGTTTTGAACATTTGTATATGTATATTTCAATTTTATCTAACATATTGGTTTGAAACTTGTGTAAAATATTGGCTATAGTTGATCGAACTATTCAACTCATCTGAAAGTACTTTAATTGAACTATTTGTAAAGAGCGAAAGCTAATATTTCTCCGACATGGCTGGTCTGAAAGTTCTATGATGCGGCTCGAGTCTGGGCTAGGTATTAGTTGCGGTTCTAGTTATAGTTCGGACTTCGGACACAATCTACTTGACTATCGTGGTTAATCACAATGGCTATTTGACTATCGTACTTTAACTTTGTAATTCTGTGCATATATATTGAACTTTACGCAGTCAGGAGTAAACAAACATGTACTCGTTTATAATTAAATTATCAAGTCGTATATGTTGTTGTATAAATTGATTTGAATTTAACAAATGTTCTCTATATATACGAGTATATTCTTTCTATAGCCTATTTTACATACTTCATACAATTGTTCCCTGGCATGTCGTAGCTGCGTATCTCGGGCACTTAACGCAGCGGCCAATTGCAAGGACCTCTCTGCTTCATCTCTGGCGTGACGCAAAAGAGCAGCCCGCTCGCGTTCCCGCTCTGCACGCTCCGCTCCCAACGCCGAGGACGCGCCGCTTCTTGACCGCATCTGTTATATTTTGTTTGTACTGGTTTTCATTGTGAATTTATTTATATTATCATAAAAAATCTGAAAAACGCTGCATTACGTTGCAGATCGAAACAATGTAAATTAGTAAAGGCTAGTTTTAAGTGAATATACAAAACGAATTGTCGAGACTACTCCTCAGGATTGAGACGAGTCCTGATATTTTATTCAACATCTCAATAGGTCTATCTTACTTGTAATAAGCAGTGCTCAAATATCACTCGAACCTGTTCATAATTTCTAATGAAGTCCCGGAGCTCCTTCTCTTTGTCCTCAAGAGTCGCGTAAAGCTGCTTCATTTGGTTGAGTAAATCGAATTTCTCAGCTTTAAGCCTCTTCTTATCAGCCTTGAGAGCTAAAATATAAAGTATAATTTTGGTAAAACTATTTTCAGTTTTAAACATGTACTGACATCGATTTTCCTAATTTCGTTTTTGCCTCCTCTACAATATGTTAGTATAAAATGGAATTATGAAGTTGATTTAATAATGTGTTTTATTTTTTTATATCGTCTGGTGAGTTTCTTTTGCCCGAGCTGACCGGAAGAAATTGCTTGTTAGTTAAAAGTCAAGCATATGCAATTGTATCTGTATATGTGCCTTGTATTCGATTCTTTCCATAACTCTTGTAATAAAATAAATATAAATCGGGTTTGAGAACTTTTATATATTTTTTTAAATATATAAAATCTGTCTTTTCAGTTCATATAATCATATCCAGTCAGGCGAGAGGGACATAATGCCAAAAAATGTATGAAGTTTAATTCTTAGTATTAGTTAATGCATCAGATGCTTAAGATTCGTTTCACGTATTTACCAAAATTTCACCTTTAAATACGTATTTTTATTCATTAAAAGCGATAAAATTGAAAGCGTTGAATATGAAGCTGAATATCGATTTCAATTACGGATAACTGGAGCAAATGAAAATTGAATGAACCCAAGTTTTCCAGTTTACGGTTTGTCTATTTAGTATTTAAAAGTTTTGGTTAAAATTATTTGCTTCCTTAAATTGCGAAATATTTGGGAAAAATTAATTTACATTTATACCTTTTGAAAATACTAACAAGGAATTACGAGATGTATTCTTTTATACAGATTTTTTTCGAAATACATCTATTTCATGTCAATGTGTATTTACCACTAGTTGTAACTCAAAAACATAATATATGGATTTAAGAACTTTTGTTAGTATTTAAATTTGATATAGATGCAATGTTGATCAATTGTTTCGAATTACGCTTATAAAAATCTTATTTGTAGAATAAAAAGCGAGACGCTTTAAAGGCAACGTTACGTGAGCATTATCTTTGTAAAGGACAATAAACCCGGCTGGCGATTAGCAAGGCTCAGTTGCGCAGATAAGCACACTTTGATCGGTATTTTATAGAGCGAAACCGTTTGACGTAACATTACGCTTATCCAATATTATATTTGGATTTAATAATAATAAAACTGCGAAGGGTTTACGAGCTTCGGGTCTTTCAGTTTAAGTACCATGTGGTATTATATTACGCTTCCAAAATTGAATATTAGTTTTTGGGAATTCCTTTTCCATACATAACATAACTGTAAAAGTTACCCATTTTGTCAATTTTAATTGATAAATCGCGTGAGCGTTCCATAAGCTCACTTTCGCATACTATATACAACTAGCTGACCCGGCGGCAAACGTTGTTTTGCCATGTATATTATTTCAAGGAAACATTTTTTTTAGTTCAACAAAAATAACTATCTACTATACTAAAAAATAGGTTACGGTTAGGTTGATCGTAGAGTGGTGAAAATTTAGGGCTGTTGGCAAAAAATGGCATTTATAAAATGCCACATAATAAAATAATATTTTTTTTGGGGTTTGAAAGATAGATAGTAGCCGATTCTCAGACTTACTGAATATGCACAAAAAAATTCATAAGAATCAGTCGAGCCGTTTCGGAGGAGAAGGGAACGAACATTGTGACACGAGAATTTTATATATTAGAAGATATCAAGTGTTTGATTCATCTGGGCATTTCAAATCACATTACAAATGTCACGATTTATATTATTATTATTAAACAAAGATACCTTTTATCAGCATTTAGTAACTAAAAGAACTGATATGATAGATTAATTCTAATTTTATAAACCTTTAATGATGTATATATGATGTAATCGCAGGATACATACAGTATGTAACCTGCCATTAAAAGCATAAATATCGCGCTTCACGAACGCTTCACTTGCTAATACGTGATTAAAAAACTTTATAACCCTTTGTTTTATTACACGCACTTCTATCCCCTCTGCGGTTGTGTAACTTTACGTTCATGCTTCAGTTATCGGCTCAAACAAACGGGCCGTTTGCTGCTTATTCAAAATGTTAACAACTCCACTAACCTGTTAAAATGTTCTAATTAAATGCTTCAGTAGATTTTACGAATTGGAACGAACTTTTTAGATCACGTTCGGTGCTTAGTGGGCATTTGCTAAAACTATTGGGTTATCCCGGATTCCATTTATGGTCAAACAATAATTAGTTTGGAATACTTGGTTGTTTTAATAATCAGTACACAAATGAGCAATTTTTCTATGCCCCTTACTCCACGAGAGGTCTCATACTTTTAATATATTATTAGATACACCTAATATAATAAACATAAATTTATATTCAAATTAAGCAAAAATTTCTTCAGTACCAATTACAGACCTCTATCATTACAAAATGAAATTTATAAGTAAGGAATGTTAATGAAGGCCACATCTTGAGATATTAAGCTACAGATTCATAAACATTCTACGAAATATAATTCCACTATTATAACATAAATTGAAAATAGATTACGTAGTAAATTTATCTCAAAAGCCAATATAGTTCGGTGTTCGTGAAGGTAATGACATTAGTGAAATGCCAGTGGAAGTTACAAACCAACCCACGAAAACGTGACCCGAAAACCAATTTACGAAATCATTCGGACTCTATATTGTGATATTACTATAGCATTGTGTCAACCTATATTTAGTCTAAAAGGACAATTATGAACGAGTCACTTTATGTGTATTTTTATTATGATGTTCATTTCGAACATAATACATAAATTATATCCTTAAATTAACTCTTGTAAAGTACTGCTACATTAAATGCTACAAGTAAAAGGGTAGAATATTTACAGATATAGCTTCTTATTTTGTGTGTAATGCCAATAAAGCAATCATTGTATAGAACGAGAAGTTCAATACAAAGTTGTGTCTTTATAAAGATAACAACAATAGTACTGATAATATTTCCCGGTTCACGATCCCTATGAAACAGCATAAGACCGTTGATTAAAGCCTTTACAGGTGGATACAATTTTCGTTCTAATTTCTCTCTTTTCAATTCCAGTAATGTTCTTTATCGTCTAACACAAAAGGTTCAACTTAAAATGGTAATAAAAGTATTCTTTGTGTAAATTAAAATTACCTAATGACGCTAATTCTAATTTCAAATAAAAATAATGCTAAATCGTTCAAATTGTCCGTTTTTTAATAATTTGTAGTAAAATTTTAATGATATTTTTTTCTTAATAATTAATCATTCTTATTATACGTATTATTAGACTGTTTAAGCTCTTGTTCTTATTAATTTATTTCTATGAAACTGCGCTTGCGTTGTGGGATCTTTTGTTAAAACGTTTAACGTTTTTTTTACTAGTACTTTTTATTGTAAGCCAAAGGGTTTTAGACTAATTAAGGCATCGTGTATCCAACCCATTATTCGAAAACACATAATAAGTATAATTGTTTAACAAACCCACTGTTCTGTCTATTTTCAATACAATGCAAACGTAATTTAAATAAATAAGTACTTTAGTTTAGACTTAATTACTTTCATAAATCCTTTCAGTGATAGAATAAGTTAAATAGGAAACATGTATACTAACAGCTAACAGCTTCCCTCGCCAACAGCAACTCTTTCTCCATCTGCTGCGGGTCGAGCGGCGGACTCTCCTCTTCCTCCCCCTGGGCCCTTTCGATCAAGGCGTTCCCCACATCCCCCCTCTCCACAGCCGCTACGAGCAATCGTCGAACCCGAGTTAACTCCGCCTGTATCCAAGATTAATTGCCATCGATTTGTTAACTTTCGAACACATGCGACGGATAAAACATTGAAGTCACGCAACACGTGTCCAACTGAACAATATTTACCATTTTATCGTGAAAATAACTCATCAGATAATGGTTAAAGTTGTAGGCATAAGATAAGGCTTTCAGTCGATTGGCTTTCCATTAATTGTTAAATCAAGTTAAAGTATTTAAATCAACCTTATCAGGTGAATATAAGATGTTGTATTATGTACAAATACCAGAGTTACCGAACGTGAATTGTTTGATGAAACCATGAATAATTACGGTAATGAATTTTAAAAATACTGTCGGCATTAGTAGTAGAAAGTAGTTGTATGGCACGCAAAATATGTGTGTAATACGGGTTAAGTTTGATATAGGACTTACGATTTTTTAAGGCAAGGGCAAAGGAAGAAATAATTTGAAAAGAATTTGTAACAAATAAATACATCTCTACAGAATATCATAAATAAGCCTGTCCCTAGGCAAAACAAAATTAATCGAGATTAATTAAAGTAACCTGTAGCCGTTCGTTCTCAGATCGCAGCCGTCGAGCCATTTGAGCGGCAGAGAGCATCCCGGGGGATGCGGGAACATCTTCCTGACGCGATCGGTCCGACCGACCGCCTGGAGACGCCGCATCTATTACATAATAATTTTAATATCATTTCTACAGTATCTCAATTTATGTAATTCGTAGTAAACAACTTATGAGTTTTATTTATTCAAAGGCGAGAGAGGATGTTTCCTTTTGAGATGATCCTTATTAAATATAATTTAATTAATTTCAAAATTCTAATTATATGTCTAAAATTAAAACCGATGTTTTATAACGTAACGATATACAGGTATAATAATAAGGTATTATTTTATTATTGTTGCTACGTGGTTCAGGGAATATCATGAATACCAAGAAAAGCTTAATTCTATTATTATCAGAAATACCGCTTAAAACTAGTTGTAGTTAATAACATACTAAAAACATACTCATATATTCAAGTACGTGTTTATGCGATTCCTGCAAGCCCACCCCAAAGACGTCATTGAAATATGTTATTTTTTACTGTTCACCAAAGTAACATTAGTTGTAATGATGTGAGCTCTTTAATAATAATAATAATAATAGGAATAGCAGTATAACAACTATACTTATTCGTATAACTATATTATATAAGCGGTTGAGTACACAAGAACATTGTTAGTCAAAAACAAAACAAAACGGTTATACACTTAGTACAGCTTTATATACATTGTATACGAGGCGCCATCCTGACGTTCCCTGAACGCACGACAGTACTGATTGAGTATTCAATGGAGCATTGTGGCAACTTCCTGTATCCGTTTATATTCGGTCTAAGAAAGTATGACCACATTTCTGCGTTGTGTAAGCACCAGCTAGGCACTGGCCTGGGCAACCATACCCATTCATCAGCGGTGTAATGCTCACGTTCTCCATCCATCCATCCTATTCAATCCTAAAACTTGTTCTTACCTTAAGAACGATTTTAAATTCATGGTAGCCTATAGCTAAAGCTTATTCTCTTCTGAATTCACTTCCTTGCCAATACAAGCTGGTTACCTGGACACATAATATCCCAAACTTTCGTACTAACTTATCTGATTGAAGTTATTGTGATTCATGTGTCCTTTTTCTTGTACATATAATGTAGTTTTGCAGTCATTGCGCCTTATTTAATTTATTATTTTTTCCTCACAGTGGTCGCCATGGATGATATCGCTTGAAAGCGAAAAGGCCGCCAGTTACCCCCATTGTATTTAATTATTTTAATTGTCCTGTATTTTCGCAACGATGTGTAACTAAATGAAATACTTTTAAGTTTTTTTTCTCATCACATAAAAAAATTATAACTATAAACAAACTAAAAATAATACAAATCCTTTTATGTATATTCATTTTTATTATGTACCTAATTCAAATGGCTCTCTCTGGTGAGGTATCTAATTAAAATTATTTTATTTTGAAGATACTGGAGAAGGTGTTTTATAAAATGCAAAAGCGATCAACTAAAATAAACGAGAATGTAATTGATTTCTCGCAACGTTAAAATAACTATTTGGACTGGCTGCTGTTACTTTTGACAAAAAGGTTTACATAGTTAACAATTGGAGGTTATTTTAATTACAAAAAATAGCTATATACGGACGTACATATTCCACATTTTTTTTTATTGTTTAATTATTCTATAACAAGTATATAGTAAATTAATTGCCTTATCAAACATCTATGATACATGTAAATAACATGTAAATAATAAGAAGTAAAGCATTATAAAGGAATAATTTGGACAATCTAAACATCGAAAACACGAAACTCCTCTCAGTCACGAAAGTGGTTGGTCCCGTCCAGACAAATCGATTATTTGAATGTATCACGCATCGCAGCGCGGCACAGGTGTAGTGGCTTTGATTGCGATTCACCAAAAGAAATAAAAACATCCTTAATTGTACTGAAATTCTATTGAATCTGTCGTTAACACATTTCACTTCGAACGTAGAGAACTGTACAATACATCGCGATAACGAACGCTATAAACGTTCAATAATGATAAATGCGTGGGATGTTCTCTTTCATATTGACCTTTCGGATATCCTTCTAACCATTATTTAAATCTGATTGAGCGCTTGCATTCGCTTAAGTTTCAGATAGCTTCTTAACTATCGGAGATGAAATTCTTCAAAATAATTTTTAATTGCTATCGTAATAATTATGAACAAAAATATGTGTTTTATAAAACGTTACATATATAGTTTGATAATATTAAAACTACAGGTTTAATAGTATGAAAATGCTTTGCTTTTTACCATGATGAGAGTCATGGAAATGTACCCGGGTGTATAAAAATTTTCATCTAAATCAGTCTAGAATGAATAAGATATCTTACTACTCGTTAATGCTGGGAAGAATACTGCCAGCTAATCAAAAAGACGACAAGTCTTAAATGACAAACGACAACATCACAGTTCCTTCATTGTAAGCCGGCTGCAGTTAGTGCAAATGAGCTTATTCCCCAAGGCAGCCAGCTCATTAGCGCACTAGGGCTGCGAGGGGAAGACAATGTATGAGAACTGCCTAATATTTCCATTATAAGTGAAACACGGACACCAATTTATGGCTTATTATTTCGTTACTTCCACATTACTTCGTCTTTAAACTTTTTATATGCTTTGATGCTATTCTTACAATCTTTAACGCTAATGATATTAACTTTAAATCTTAACGATTAACTGGATGTTTGTTTGAATGCATAGATACTGAACCAATAGTAATTTTAGATTAAATTAAACTTATCGAAGAATACACGAATTGATGTATAAAAAGATCTAAACATATACAGATAAGAACATTAACTCAATTTGAAGTACAAATATATACCCTTATCAGGCTATAATTCAATTTGGTTTTTCGTTCATGGAGTATAAATTTCATTAAGGAATTTTCACAGTAACTCTCTAGAGGCGAAAACTGCGGACTATTGTGTAGGTTATTATTGGTCATACTTTAATTATTCAGGTAATTAGTATTCAGAAAGCTTATTCGAGACATTAGTGACAACGTAAGTTTAAGGCAGCATTGAAGAATCTCCAACTAAGTCGTAACTTACTTCATCACCAACTCAAACATTTCAGCCCGACTAGTTACCAACTATTATCTCCCGTATTATAGTCCGTAACTCAAACACAGGAAACTTTATATTTTTCTTGTTAATATTTTACCTTACAAAGGATGATATTTGCGAGATAAAAATATCGGCGTCGGGACGTGACGACCCCATCGCCCACTGGTGAAATAACCTGTGACAGAGGTTATTTCATCAGCGCAATCAGTCAACCCCTTCCTAGTGGGAGTGCCATGCTGTTACCTTCGGGCTTCAGCCAAATGGGCAGGCACGACTGGGGCAGTACCACTGTCACTTAGAAAACCGGCGTGAAGTGATGCAATAGGTTCGCCTTATTGTACTCGCGTTTCGTGCGGTGAGGGAGACTCCCGGAGCCCATCCCCCCATTTGAAATATGAAGGTGCAGAAAAAACAGAATCTACCCCAGGGGGGTGCCACACGCGCTCGCGGTGGAGAATCCCCCTCTGGGCGTCCAACACCGGGACACTCAGCACCCGGTGGTGGACGCACAGGCTGCCCTTCGTATTCTGGGGGGGGCAATTCTGCGCTCAACAAAAACAGTTATCGTTCTCGGGGCAAACGGAACAATTCAACAATGGCACCCCCGTCCACGCTCGCCGTGGACTTCACAAATGTTAGGGGGCTCAATTCCAATATCAACGCAGTCCACTACCATTTAGAGACTGCGAAGCCGGCCTTGCTCTTTCTTACCGAGACTCAGATTTCCTCCCCGGCTGATACTTCCAACCTCTCCTACCCGGGGTACAAATTGGAACATTCATTTGTGCCGCGGGCGGGAGTTTGCGTGTACGTCAGAGAGGCTATCTGTTCTAATCGCCTCGGGACGCTTGAAGGAAGGGACCTATCTAACCTCTGGCTGCGCGTAGACTGCGATGACCATCCGCGATTCTACGCATGCCTGTATAGGTCCCATAGCGGAAATACCGAAACTGACCGACTCATTGAGCACATCCAAATAGCAAATTCCCTGCTCGAAAGGGTTCCTACCGCTGAAATTGTGATACTTGGCGATGTTAACACCCACCATGACGATTGGCTCGGCTCTGAAACCACCGATCACGCGGGAAGATCCTTTCACGACTTTGCTTTAGCCTACGACCTGACACAAATGGTCCCTGCGATTACGCGAATACCAGATCATCCACATTTGGTATTCGCGTAATATCCCTATAAAATCGCGTCATACACCCTCTTTGTTGGACCTTCTGCTGACTTCACATCCGGAGAACTATCAAGTCTCTGTTGACCCGCCATTGGGTTCATTGCATCATTGTGTGGTCCGGAGTACTATGCCATCTACGCGCCCTTCACGGCCCCGCTTTATGGGTTGTCGCCGTATTTGGCACTATAAGTCAGCAGATTGGGACGGGATGCGGTCTTTCTTTGCGTCCTACCGTTGGGGGCCTATGTGCTTTACGCCGGAAGCTCCAGATTCCGTCGCCGCCTCTGTCACCGAAGTGGTTCTGAAGGGCATGGAACTCTTTATTCCATTTTCTGCGGTGCCGATCGGTGGCAAGTCTCAGCCCTGGTTTAAACGTTCTTGCAAGGCGGCCTCGCGTCGAAAGTGAGAATGCTTTAAGCCATGGGCGGAAGCGGCGAAATCTCGTGATGCCAATACCAGCGAACTTAAAACAGCATATAACTCAGCCTCCTTCAAACGGGAAATCACTAAGGCAAAGTCAGAGCACATTGCCAGATTTGGCGAGAAATTGGCCCAGCTCCCTTCAGGGACTCGAGCCTTCTGGTCTCTCGCCAAAGCTGTCCAAGGGAATTTTTGTCAGCCCACCATTCCGCCACTGCACAGGGAGGATGACTCTCTGGCCCACACTGCGAAGGAGAAGGCCGACCTTTTGGGTTGTCTCTTCGCGTCCAACTCGACTTTGGATGACCGAGGGAGATCACCACCGACCATTTCGCGGTGTGATTCTTCGATGCCGGAAATCACATTCCGGCAACGTGCTGTCCGCAAAGCACTATCTTCCTTGGACATTCATAAGTCGAGCGGGCCGGATGGTATCCCCCCAATTGTGCTGCGTACTTGTGCTCCTGAGTTGGCTCCGGTCTTAACGCGCCTTTTCCGGTACCTGTACTCGCTCGGCACTGTCCCGATGTGCTGGAAGACCGCTTCGATACATCCAATCCCTAAAAAAGGCGATCGCTCTGATCCGTCCAACTATCGCCCAATAGCTATAACCTCCTTGTTCTCCAAAATAATGGAAACCATTATTAATTGCCAGCTCTTGTGGTATCTAGAGGGCCACCAGTTGATTAGCGATTCTCAGTACGGCTTTCGTCGTGGTCGCTCAGCTGGTGACCTCCTTGTATACCTTACCCATAGGTGGGCGGAGGCAATTGAGTCCAAGGGGGAGGCACTGGCAGTAAGTTTGGACATAGCGAAAGCCTTCGATCGGGTGTGGCACAGAGCACTGCTCTCGAAGCTTCCAGCCTATGGGCTTCCTGAGAAATTATGCGATTGGATCTCCAGCTTTCTGGCCGATCGGAGCATCAAGGTCGTCATCGACGTTCCGACCTTAACCTGTGAACGCTGGGGTCCCACAAGGCTGTGTTCTATCCCCGACCCTATTTCTTTTGCATATCAATGATATGTTGCAACTTAGCAACATTCATTGCTATGCGGATGACAGCACTGGGGATACTTTTTACACTGGCCGGGCAGGTATTTCTCGGGCAGTTGTTGATGAGTACCGGAACAAACTTGTGTCTGAAGTCGAAACTCTACTACGTGGAGTCTCAGACTGGGGCAGATAAAACCTAGTCCAATTTAACCCCAAGAAGACACAAGTTTGCGCGTTTTCCGCTAAAAAAACACCCTTTGTCGCTACTCCTCTTTTCGAAAACACTCTTCTTAAAGCCACAGCCAGCATTGGAATACTTGGCGTTGACATATCGAACGACGTTCAGTTTCGCGGTCACTTGGAGGGAAAGGCTAAATTAGCCTCCAAAAAGCTTGGTGTGCTCAGCAAGGCGAGGCGGTACTTCACTCCGGGCCATCGCATGCAACTATATAAAGCGCAAATTCGGCCCCACGTGGAGTACTGCTCTCACCTCTGGGCGGGGGCTCCAAAGTACCAGCTCCTTCCACTTGACCGTATACAACGCAGAGCGGTTCGAATCGTCGACGACCAATCCCTCTCCGAGCGGCTTGATCCTTTGGCGTTGCGTAGAGATGTGGGGTCACTCTGCATCTTCTACCGCATTTACCATGGAGAGTGTTCAGAGGAGTTGTTCGGATTAATACCTGCAGCTGAGTTTCATCATCGGACGTCGAGACAGAATACGAAATTCCACCCGTATCACCTCGACGTCCGCCGTTCCACAACTGAGCGTTTTTCAAGGCAGTTTTTTCCGCGCACCACCACTATGTGGAATCAGCTGCCCACTGAAGTATTTCCGAACCAATTCGACTTAGGGTCCTTCAAGAAAAGAGCGTACCAATTCTTAAAAGGCCGGCAACGCCCTCTGGCATTGAGAGTGTCCATGGGCGGCGGTATCACTTAACATCAGGTGAGCCTCCTGCCCGTTTGCCCCCCGTTCTATAAAAAAAAAAAAACATAAGTGTTTCTAAGCCGGGATTAGCCTGGTTGTTTGTTGTAGAGCAAGAATAGCAAGAACCCTTTGTGGGAAATATAGGTAACTATATGGCAAGACAAACTGTATGGAGCCATTTTTTTAAAAAAATTTGTTTGCCATCATAAATAATATATAAAACAAAACAATCATGCTTTAAATATACTCTTAAATAAATGTGTGAAGTAGCCCAGTCAGTTTATGAATTTCGGTAATTCCACTAATCGCATATTTAATGGAGCCCTACAACTTGCTACTTCATAAACTTACCTCCATCAAGTGTAGCCGTAATATCAGCTCTAGGTTCAGGTCCATCACTACTCCGACCTGGCGACGTTGCATCAGGCAACGGAACCTCCTCTTCCGAACTATCGGCTGGATCCAAAGGATTCTTATCGCTTGTATTACTATTCCCAATTTCGGCATATGTGCCACTGTCACTACCATTTTGAGTCGACCATTTTATTGGAGAATCGAGTTTACCATTCGTATGATTTTCTTTATTGTCATCATCTGGAGAAGAAACTGTTTAAGAGGTTAGACTAAAAGTTTAAAGCCATGCATGATAAATGAGATATTAATCCAAAACAATTCTGAACTGAACTGATCTAAGAATGGCTAAATATTATTTTTAAGTTAAATAAGCAAACCTTGCACAATTAAGTTTTTTTTATAGTTCCATTCTTAGGAAAACGTAGTAGTCGCTAATTTCTTAAAATTGGTGGTGTACTGGGCGATTTTATACGAGCGAACATGTTTCTTTTCTGCTTTTTGTTTGAGTCTTAAATTATTGCTCGAACAATTATAAACAAAAACGTTTTAGAATACCAACCTATAAATGGGTTATCTTTTCCATTTCTAATAGATAGTCTAGTTGATCTATTAAGGGTGGCTTGGTCCCCGTTTAGAGATCCGCTCCTCGGTTTATCGAGTGTGCTAATAAGCAGTCGTCTTTCGGGAGGCACTGGTCTGTCCAAGTCCGACCTATCGAGAACTGAACATGCTGGAGTGATGAGAGGATCAGCAGGTTCCGGCTCCGCCTCAGTATCAACCCTCGTCCCCACCGACACTTGTTCATCCACCATTTTTCGAAGTTTCGCCTGCACATTATTAATTTTGTTAATACATTTTTATTATGTACCTAATGCAAATGGCTTTTAGGTGAGGTATCAAATAAAAATTATTGAATTTTGAAGATACTTGCGTTTTAAGAAATATTATTTGTTTATTAAGCTTGTAATGTTAAGTCAGATTTCTAATAATATAATGTCTCTAATAATAACAGTAAGAAGTATAATGTCATGCAGCGGATTACATAAAATGCTAGAAGATCATTCATGGGCTTCAATGGAACAGTGAATTTACATTGTCACTCAAAATAAGTAACCCAACTAATAAAATCAGCAATCTAAAACTTATCACGAAATATCTTAACATAATTCAAACTCTTATTCAATAACTAGTACTGCTTAAACCCGTTCAGCTAATACTGATAAGCAAATTTATATTTGTCATAGAACATTTCGATAGAAAAGTCGCATTACTTAAACCAATTTGGAACACGGTTTCCCTCACTGCCATTAATCACGCTAAGGAATCTAATTTGTTTTATATCTAGGCCACAATAGGAATATTTAATAATGCACTCATAAAAACAATGCCCGCTCCATTTAAGCGACGAGTTATGGCGGCTCTGTGAGTTCATTTCATAAACATGGACTTATATTAAAAGACTTACGTTTCGACGACCTTTCGTCTTATCATCTCTATTTATCTAAACAGCATCGTCTATTCACTTTCCAACCTGTCGTTTACAGTAATAGACAGTTCATGTGTTGCTCAAAGTGTATTTCACGTACCTATATAATTTTAACTTAGGAAATTTGTGTGAATTATGTTACACAGTGTCGTAAATATGTGTTTAAACAACGTGAATTTCTGCTGTCTGCACGTCGGTTGGCCGAGCAGAACCTGTCCTTATGAAGGGTTTATAATATATTAATATGAGTGTAATTTGTTCTAGCTTACTCGGTACCTACTGTATAATGCTGTTTGGGAATGGTGAAACAATTTACTTTATTTCAATGTGTTTACTGAACAAAACTAATATTTTTCACTGAATTATTGTTATTTCTATGTAGGTTAAGAATAGTGTAAATACTGAATATTTGTGTGTTGGAAATTAATATACACTTTACACTTAATGATGATAACCAACGTACCTGGGCGTCGCCTAGTATTCGGCGCATTAGCGCCATCAGGCCGCGGTGGCAAAAGCTGTCATGCTATCCACCTGCGCCTCGCATTCTTGTTTTGTTCAGCACTTTATTCAAACAAACTTTTGTCTTTCGCAAACTGTTTTAATAAAGTTTCCATTAACAGGTGCTCCCCTTTCACACTTCTCTCTTATCTGTTTTGCCTGAAACAATGAAACATCTAACATTTTGAATAGCTCGTGAAATTCGTGTTTTACTATAGCCATACTTTTTAATATAATGTAATAGAAAATGGGAGTAAAGAAAAAATGGGTCATGGTGTGGTGGTATACGTCTATGGATGAAACATTTAATATTATTTCAGTTTCATGTTCAAGTAAATAAATATAGGTTGCAAAACTTGATGCGTATTAAAACTCGACAAATAGTGTTGAAAAGCTAACTGCTGAGTTCCATCCTTATCGAGTACTAGTATACAATTATTACTACATTTGAAATAACAACAGTTTCGTATATTTGTTAGCTGACATGCCTATAGTAAATGCATATTTCACGTACAATAATTTATTGTCTGGTACGAATGTGAAGTGAATGTATCATTTTATACCTACATTTAACTTTAGAGGCACAATACCGCGCCCGCATTCATTGGCAATAAAAGGACTATTGAAAGCGAGGTACAATAGTATTTTGTTACAATTCAAACATTATTAGATACCTCTACATACCTCTATTTATAACTTCGGATTCTTACGAAAACGTTATCTTTTACGACACGTATTTTTATTATCAAATATTATTTATATACAACAGCTATTGTTTGCGTGAATTGTGTATTTATTTACATGTGTAGTTATTTTGTGTGTTCGACGAATATGTAGTCTAAAACTTCTAACAAATATCAAATAAAGAGCATGATGCTATGTAACAAGTTGTTTTACATTATTCACTTACTGACAAATTTAAACAGGAATCGTTATTAGTTACTCCAAGCATGTTCCTTTATGTGAGTTAGGTAAAAAGCTGAATTCATCAAGATAATCCAAGTGTCTCATTGGCAATCCAGTCACATCCTTCAAGATTTACATAAAAGGGTCTTGCGCCAACAAGGGCACTCCAAATTTGGTTTTGTAGGTTTTTTAACTTTTCTCTACTATATGTTCGAAATTTTTTATTTGGGGCAAAATATTCCAAAGCCTGACGGACACGTATTTCATAGTTTTCAACTTTCTCTTCGTTCAATTTCCCAACATTGTGTCGAAAACAATGTGCGGTTAAAGTGTTACATATTTTTTTATCAATAACTTCCATCAAAACATTATATGTAATTTAAATTAGTAAAAAAAATCAGCACCAGTAATTAAAATAAATCCTTTATGCAAGTGAAAGGTAAGTTCCAAGAAGTTTCTATTATTATTCTTCCTTGAAAAGGTACAATATATGTTTCTATTGCTCAATCTCATTTTTACTTTTCTGTGCCCTTGTGCACATTTGCCACAAATAGTTTAAGTTTTTATTCTAATTTATGAGATTATATGAAGTACCTTTAACGTCGATTATATTTAAAAAAAGAGTAGATTAAACATGCAGTTCTCAAGAAAAGTAGTGCTAAGCCACCAAGAACGTAACAACGTATTACATTAATCAAAGCTTACGTAGCCTTGAAGTATGTGAAAGGGGCGTGTCAACATGCAAGCAACTTCAGTAAGTTACGTTCTACGAGCTTCGTTATTGCGGCCTTTGAATACTCCACTCCTTAATTAAAACGTAGTCAGAGATTTTATATCTCATGTACCGTATTATATTCAAACATTAAGCGCTTGTTCATTAAAATCTTATTTTTACGTTCTCTTATTATCTTTCGTAAGTAATCGAAAACGACCTTGAATTAACATAGCTTTTGGATTAACTAATTTAAGTCTCGTAACTACAAAATGAGACACATTTTTGCCTGTGTATGTGAATATCCTTATATCCATTCCCATTGCGAAAGAACATTGGAATGGAAGTTAGAAGTTTCTTATTATACGCATAAAATAAGCGGAATCATAGTCGGCTAAACCACAAAAGCTGAACACTTTTTAAAAAAATATTACTCCCAAGTTAATGTATATTTACCAAAACTCACTTCAATTTTATTTTGGTGTTTGTAAAAAAAATTTCAAGTAAGTTTAAAGTGCAATTTAAGCCAAAATTAGTCCGTTTGTAGGATTTCGTAAAATAAAAACAAATCATAATATTAAATGAATGAATCATATAGAATTATACTTGTAATATTCCCAGCATGTAAACAACTACTAAACTAAGTAGAGAACCCAAGTAAACGATGCACAGGTGCCTTTGAGTCGAACCTCATCACAGTACAACACAAGTTGCAGAACATTATACATACATAATGGCCTCGTAAACAGTAATTTAATGCTCCACCTTCAAATCCACTCTTTATTGCCGTGAAGTATCTTTGGTTCCGTTTTATGTTACAGCAAAAACTGTCTATTAAATATTATAAATTATGAAATCACGAAATGTTATAGATATAAAATTTTAGTCTCTGCAAGACGCTCTAAGAATAGCCAACATTCTCATGGACTAAACTTGATCCACCACCTTTAACTTTGCTTTGGTTCCTTTACACGGTACACGATACCGAAATCGTCACGAATGGTAATAAAGACTGGCCAAAGTTAGAACGCCCGAGAACATCCTTTCATATTCCATTCATTGTGTGTCTCATGGTTACCGTAGCATCGTGGACACCGTATTGCACAAGCAGCTACTGTATTATACAGACAGTTATCCAAATTTTTGAAGAACTTTAATACCATTCTCAATCCTCACAACCGACCGACAATTTGTTTAATTCCGCATTTGTGATTTCAATATTTTTGATGCTTTTACTAAATGAAAGTAAATCAGTTACAACGAGCGTAACACAAACTCTTATATAGCACGTGTCTAAATATATTAATATACAGAGTAAATATGATCCTATGTAATTTATATAACAAGTGTCTGATATCCATTATCCTCAAATGTTATTGATACGAGGCACCCTCTACCCCTTTGTTCTAATAATAATATCCGGGCTCATACGTCACTTTGTTAGTTGATGCTGATCATGAATCAAATTATCAATTAAAATTGACATCGTCATTTACAATATTTTTTTAGCATGAATTATTGTATAAAATGACCAAGCTTTTACAACATAGTAATTTAGTTATTTTGCCAAAACTATATAAAAAATTATATCTTGTGCCACGCCGCGAGATATAAAATTATATATTCTTTATTAACAAAACCAAACTTTCAGACATTCATGAAGGTAATGGAACCTAAATTTTTACGACGAAAAGTAATAATGTATAAAGTTTGTGATTTTGAAATAATTTACTACTTAGTTTTATGACAGTTTGACGTGGAATTAGTTTATATACAAGCAGTGCAGCGATGCTTGTGGGAGATACGTAAGCGCTAAAACTTTCAACGTTTCGCGAATTTCCGAGTAAGTGCCGCTGCAGCGTCAGCAGCGTTGAGCTGTGTACCTTCGCTAAACTTTACTGCACGCTACACAACTCGCTAACTAAATAGAAAGAAGCTTCCGAGCCGTGCTGCTCCAATGAGTTACGTACTTAGCATGGTTTAGTTGTAAATGCCTGTACTCCTTTTTGTACTATTTTCGCATTAAATTTTAATATCATTAATAAATAATTAATTAAAATCAGAAATATGATATTTCATTTATACTGTCTCGTAAATTGGCTTGTACATCTATCAGCTATTTTACGTGGTTTTCTTTAAGAAAAATTGGATTGTGAATGTGGTCATTAAAAGTGATTGACCTTCGTAACTATTCAACAAACAATGATTTATTGTGCAACAGGTGTTTCTTAAGATGAATTGAGGCTGTTATATATATATAGATTGTACCGTTTGTACATCTGTCCATAAATCATAAAGCAATTCATTTCAAGACCCGTCCGCCCGTTACTGGTTAAATATGCCATTTATCATTTTGAGGCATTCGTTCTAAATAACCTGGGAAGACTGTAATCATGACCTAAAAGCTGCATTAAAGATTGAACAATTGCTTTAAATGAAATGTAGTTTTATTTGAAGATTGAAGATCACTGAACCTAACCTCGAAACATGATTGAATCAAAAAAATATATTATGACTTCGGTACTTATTATTTTACAGGAATTTTGTGTTTTTAAATAGATTTTCTTAATAATGAACTATGTTTTAGTTAGACGACGATGTTGGCGTATTTATAAATCGAATATACACACTGAAATATAGGTTTTGTTATAGTGCAAAAGATTTTAATCGAGTCTTGCTAGGTAGATTACGACGGCTTACAGGTCTATTTAATGCAAAGACTGCGGGTTCAATGCTTTAAGATGGAAGCAACAGCTGGTGGAGGTATCATGTGCAGGCACCGGAATATAAATGGACAAAGATTTAATTGTAATGTATCACACCACGAGTAAATAAATAAAAACACATTATGGCATCTTATCAAGGAAATTCTGGGAGTCTCGAATGGAGCAAACAGTCTCAAGTGACCATCGACTCTTCGCTCCACCCAGACCATTAACTAATAGTGCTTTCGAAGGTCTTTATAAGCCTTGATTGCTTTCAGGCACACTCAGAGCAAAGTTTATTAAATTCTTATTGAATATTTTAAATTATTAGTGTACACCTTATCTTAATCGTTTTAAGTACTTATTAACCTTTTATCAAATCACTTAATTGTATTTTATCACAATAATCCACTGTTTGATTTCATATGTTATGATTTGGCGAGTTTTAAGAATAAGTTGAAAAAATCAAATACTTTTTAATTTGATTCATTTGACTGATACACGAATTAAATTTTTGACTTGCATTTATTGTGGTTATTATAATTTTGAAGTATTTTATTATTTAGTTTCCCCGGAATGGCAAAAATCATCCGATAATTTAAATAAAATTTTATTGTAATCATATTTGCAATTATATTTACGGTTTAGTTTAGATTATCTAGCTATAATATATAT